CCTCATAGAAAGGACCTACATCAGTCCGGGGAAGCATTTGGTGGCAATTGTTCTTATTTTACATTCATGAGGAAACACCACGGAGAGATTTATCGCCTCGTTCCGAGCAGCGCAGAGGAAGGGAAAGCGTTATGCAAATTCAGAAGCAAATGTTTTGGAATGTATCCAGTGTCTGTGTCCCTGCGGCTGCCACACGGTGATGATAAATCTCTTGAAGCTCCTCAGATGCCACCAAATTCTTCCATGACTTGTGTCGTTCCATCAATCTTTTTACAACGTCCACCTCATCCCATCTCTCTAACATTCCATCCATTCTATAATAAACTGCAATCTGATCTAATCAAAGCTTCATGGGGGGTCCAATGAAAACTAGAGAATGTGTAATAAATACGCTATGTGGCCAAATGTTTCTGGACAGCCGACCATCGCACCTACTGTATATGGCCAAAGGTGGACACCCCTTCCAAATCTTTGGGTTCAGGTGTCTCCAGTCAAGGGTAATGTTAATGCTACAGTATATAACACCTGTAGACAGGATACCTCAGGTGGCATCTCATAGGCGGGGGGCGAGGGTTCGTATGGTGGTGGAGGGCAGCCACAGAGTCCCAGAGCTCTTGGCAACCTGTGACGCTTGCTGCTCAGCTCACTGACGTCACCAGTTGCCAGGAGCGGAGTGGGACTCTCTAGCTGGCATCCCGCCAAGGTCCTGGCAATCAGTGATGCCAGTGAGCTGGGCAGGAGGCTGGACAGAGCCACTGACAGCATGGTCCAGTAATTAGTACTACAGCCCCATCATCCTCATGGCTCGCGTAATTAGTATTACAACTCCATCATCCTCAATGGCTCGTGTGATTAGTACTACAGACTCATCATCCTCATGGCTTGTGTAATTAGTACCACAACCCCATCATCCTCATGGCTTGTGTAATTAGTACCACAACCCCATCATCCTCATGGCTCGTGTAAGTAGTATTACAAGTCCATCATCCTCATGGCTCGTATTAGTGGTACTACTTACACGAGCCATGAGGATGATTGAGTTGTAATACTAATTATATGAGCCATGAGGATGATGGGTGCTGTAATACTAATTATATGAGACATGAGGATGATGGGGGCTGTAATACTAATTATATGAGTCATGAGGATGATGGGGCTGTAATACTAATTATATGAGCCATGAGGATGATGGGTGCTGTAATACTAATTATATGAGTCATAAGGATGATGGGGGCTGTAATACTAATTGTATGAGCCATGAGGATGATGGGTGCTGTAATACTAATTGTATGAGCCATGAGGATGATGGGGGCTGTAATACTAATTATATGAGTCATGAGGATGATGGGGGCTGTAATACTAATTATATGAGCCATGAGGATGATGGGGGCTGTAATACTAATTACACGAGCTGAGATTTCCAGATATTACATCAAATCACATTATTATTATTTTTCCTTCTCAGGCCGTACGGATGTCACTCGGAAATCGGGTCATTTTAAGGACAATCGCCGTTTTCAGGGAAGAAACTGGCAGTTTTTATTTAATTTCCGTGACAAGTCATTAAATCCGTTCTCTCTTTGTTCCAGGAGTTACTCCTGTTACAAAAAACATTAGGGAGTCGACCTTTCCTCCGCGCCGCGCAGCAGTTACCAGACTGACAGCGTACTAAAATCTTATCTGCCCCCTCTCAGGTGTCCCGTCGGCTCCTCATTATTTCTTTGTTAACGCTGGTAATGGTGTGGCAGCAATCACCTCAATGGTCAGAATAAGACCCTCAGCCCGTCCGCCATGTGCCCTTGAAGGACAATTGCATTTTAATATTTAACTTCTAGAACCCCACGCCACCACCGTCACCACTGACGCAAGGCTCCTGAACCAACCTGCACTGACATCCCCCATCCCAGCTTCTTACGTTCCCCTATACCAAAGTCACATCCTGTGCAACGTCCCATACGGGATTATTCGCACTGGGTGCATTGATCAAGGCAAAGAGCACTTAGCAACCAATTGTTCTCTCTGATCCCAGATCGTGACAATCTGGTTGTCATCTATGAAAATACAGACTGCCTAGGAATGGCCACTCCTCCAGACACCCAATGCATTCTGATATTTGCATAACTCCTCCCAGGAGCCTTAAATAAAATAAATATGTCAATCCTAATAAACTGACCCCTATGCCTTCAATAAAAGGAGTTACTATTATAAGATGGCACCCCTCTCCCAGTGCTGATACTCTGGGCTGACAACATATAAAACTCACAAGTCATGTTCAAAATCTAATTGTATAAACTCCTTTAGGTCTACCAAAAGGTACGTAGTACAAGGACCTGCCTGATCGGATACAAATGGATTGGATAGGTTGGGTAGGTCCTCACATTGCATATTTTTGATAGATCTAAGTATGTTCTTAGTATATCATTTCAGGTCCAATGTAACGTAATGTAATACCTCATTATGGCCAATAGATGGAGCTGAGGAGCATAGGAAATAAATACTTGCTCCTCAGCTCCATCTAGTGGCCATAATGAGGTATTACATTACATTGGAACTGGAAAAATAATATACTAAGAAAGTTAATTTTTGCCTCTGTTCACAGAGAATGAACATTGACAGAGATTTGCAGGGCGAACTGCTATACAAAGTGTTTCTAAATACACCCAAAGCTGTCCAACAGCTCCTGAGCCTGCATGACACTAGCAATTAACAAACCCTTTAGAACAGATGGATGCAAACAACTATATGGATCTGTTATTTGATACTGTTGCGCGCATTCAGGGTATGTTAAGCAGCATGTGTTATCAGCTTGACGCCAGGAAGTTGGGCCGGGCAGCCCACCTTCAGACTTGGTGGGGGCTGCTCAACTCTTAGCTTCAAGAATCCCCCTCAGTCAAAGCAAATAAAGCTTAATAATGGGGAGCCGAATCAAAATCCTTCATTGGTAACCTGCAACTATTTAAGGCAAATTATTTAAAATTGCTCAAAATGGCTAAGCTCGTTCTTACTGCCTGATTTTACTATATCGTAAGTAAGAGCGAGAGTTTATCTGGCCATATGGTAAATGTCATAACATCTGAACCCCAAAAGAAAATAATATTATTCCATGCATAGCCCCCCCGCCCCCCATTATACTCTCTGTAGGCTGTGTCAGTTATCATTAAGTAATAAGGATGCACCGATACCGATGCTGGTATCAGTATTGGTGCCGATAATGAGTATTTGGGCGAGTACTCGTACAATACTGACCCTGATACCAGAACTTCGGGTCAGAGGGAGATCTCCCTCGGTTCCATGCTCCCTGCCACAAGGGAACATGGAGCCGGCTTGCCAAACAATCAGAAAGTCGGGCGGCAGGTCATGACCCGCCTCCCGGCTTCCTGATTGGCTAGGTAGCCAGCTTCAATTGTTGCTAGGCAGCATGACCAATCAGGAAGCCGGATGGCACGTCATGACCCGCCTCCCAGCTTCCTTATTGGTCAGGAAGTCAGGCTGCCTAGCAATGTCGAGAGGGAAGTGAAGCCGGTGTTCTTTAAATAGAACAACGGCTTTCCAGGCAATCAGGAAGCCTGGTGGTGCCTTGTCTCAAAATATCACCTTAACCGTCCGCTCCTCCCAAGACCTCCTGCTTTCCAGCTCCCTTGTCATCTCCTCCCATACTCGCCTCCAGGACTTCTCTAGAGTCTCTCCCATCCTCTGAAACTCTGACTGCCTTTAGGCGATCCCCAAAGACTCACCTCTTCAGGGAAGCCGATCCCACCTCAACCTAACCACTCGACCATCACATTCTCAAACAATTCATCCCCATACAGCTACCTCCCTATGTATCGCTTGCCCCTCCCCTTTTAGCTTGTAACCACCCAGGGGCAGGGCTCTCCTTACCATCTTGTCTTGAATTGTATTGTGATTGTAATGTCTTCCTTATATTGTAAAGCGCTGCGCAAACTGTTGGCGCTATATAAATCCTGTATAATAATAATAATAATGACCGGATGCCCGCCTTCCTGACAATCCAGTATCTCGGGATGTCGGTATTGGTATTCAGTATCGGCGAGTGCCAAAAAAATATATAAATATCGGTACTCATGCTTGATTCCGAAAAACCGGTATTGGTGCATCCCGATTAAGTAGCGTCTGGGTATGTAACACTTTTGAGGGTTGTCAGGTTTTGCTCTGCCCTGTAGCCCCTCTACTGCAAAGAAAAGGTCAACTGGTTATTATTAGCGATTCCATTTAAAAACAACGTCCCGCCTTTTTAAAACGAGGTCAGCGTCCTTCTTTAATACTACACATCTGAAATCGTTTGCCGCGATTCGGTGCGATTGTCAAAGCCGGAGGATACAAACAAGATACAACGCATATAAAACGTATATATGTGCCTAGTGTAAAAAGTATAAATATCATTACAACATATAAAATATAAAACAAAGCATTGCCCATTATTTATACACGTTACAGCTATATACAGGTTGAAATAAAACCTTGCAGTCATTGCGGAGAAACCCCCCCTTCCCCCACGCCCCCCGGGCAGTGAAGGGGTTAATCAGTGAATATATACAAGATGGAAGAACAGCTGCCATAATGTGGAGATTTAAAAAAAAAAGGAAAGAACAGTTTATTCTGGAAGGTCGGGGGAAGAGGAGGGAGGTCTTTAAGTGGGCGGGGGGCCGTCGTACTTGAGCATCAGGTTGAAGGAGTGAGCAAAGTTGTTGGCCAGGGCGCAGTTCTGGCTCTCGTGCACTAGAGGGAGCAGGAAGGCCAAGAGGAGGAGGAGCAGAAGGAGGAGCTGTAGCGGTAGCGCAGCACAGCAGACACGGTGCAGGAATGAGCAGATTCCTCCTGATTTCTGCAAGATACAGCAAAAAAAAAAAAATGATTAATTGCTTTAACCTGATATAAGCAAATATAAAAAAAAAAAAATAACTCTGCTGATAGAAAGATGCAAACAGAAGCAGAGCGCAGCAGCACGGGGGTGTACGTATAGAACCTTTGGCCCTGAAAAACTTTCTGCACGTTCGTTCTGTGTGACTGGAGGAAAAAACGAACCTTATTAATATCTTTTCTTTCCAAGTCGAAGGTAATATCAGGAAAATACCTCATTATGACCACTAGATGGTGCTGAGAGGCATAGGAAACACTTTTTTCCTCTGCTCCTCTTGCACCATCAAATGTAATATTCTCCTCAGCTCCACTAGATGGAGCCAATGAGCAGAGGAATGAAATACTAATATGTCCTCAGCTCCCTCTAGTGGCCGTAAGGTGGTATTTTCCTGATAATAAATTTGACGTGGTGGGGGAGGGGGGTGATGGAAATAAAAATAAGATACTGATAATGTTCGATTTTGCCCCCATTTGCACAGGACGAATGCTCATGCAGTTTTGCAGGAGGAATAGGTCTGCACATTTTTGATGAATTAAATATATTAAATAAATGACACCCAATAGTGTAGAATCTTCTGATATGAAGAAATAAAAACGCCACAATTTGCACTATTTAAAACCTTGTACAGCAAGCATATGGACAGGGGTCTCTGACTCCTGTGTCCAGTGCTGGTGGCCATCATCATCACACTCAGAACGGGTAGGGAAGTCGGGCCCGGCATGATATAATGGCCTCTCCATAACCTCCTGCTCATGAGATGTCCATATGGAACCCCCGCCTATGCCTATGCACGCCACTGGTCACGACCATTGTATCATGCCAGGCCCGACTTCCCTACCCGTTCTCAGTGTGATGATGATGACCACCAGGACTGTGGTGACTGTGGTGACTGGAGTCAGGAAGGAAGGCAGAGGAAGGGGAATGGTCCCAAAAAGTGTCCCAGTGGTGTACATGGTGGTAGGCGGGGCTTCCTGATGAACATCCTGGTGTACATGGTCGCAGGAGGGGCTTCCTGATTAACATCTAGCTTGTAAAGCCCTACCCAAAACATTGACCGAAAGTGCGGTGTTTATTCTCCACTGTGGCTGTGGGCGTGGCTCCCCACAACAGAGGGTGTGGCATAATAGCAGGTCAGGAGGGAATACTTTATAGGAAATGGGGCAGGCACTTATAGATGAGGAATACTATATATCTATATTTATAGATTGATAAAACATGTAGCTTGAAGCTTCTACAACTGACGAGGACAGAACACGGTACCTTGGTGACGTCCCTGGGCTCGTGGGTCAGGTTTCGGCCCTGAAAAGAAAAAAAAAAACAGGTCAGTGCTTACACCTTTCAGACATGGTCAGTATAGAAGAGAGCAATTTTTAAAACTCAGTTCTTGCAAACAGGATATTACAACTTAGGGTTTCACTCATAGAGCGCAGTATCCAATTGTGTAATGGTCCCAGGATCCGCTCCACGAGCCGTCTGCTTTCCACGCTGGAACGCTGCGGCCGTGGACGTAACAGGGCGCCTCCCCTCCCTGGGAGCGTACGGTTATGCGTTCCACCAGCATTTAAGAGGCCTATGAACCCATGGACGGCATTCCTCTATTGGGTTCATGCCCCAACACCCCAGGAGCCACTGCACACCTCCAGGAACCAGACCATACCCGGACCTCTTTCCACCAACCACGGACAGCAATCCCAGGAGTTCTAAGGATCATGAAAGCCAAGGGGTTCAATCCCCACAACCGCAAGTAATCTGTAATAGCTTTGCTGTTTTACTCTGTGGAGTCTCTACACTGCCACCTAGTGGAGCCTTTCCATATCATCTCCATATTATGCCTATGCTCAGTAACTAACAGTGTATAGTAGGATTGCCGCTGCTGAATTTGTTCTCTAACCTTAAAGACTGCCTTATGAGTTCACGCTCCCTCCTTGCCATCCCATATAAGTTCTAATATTAGGAATATGAATTAATATTCCTCAACTAACTCCACTTTATGCTTTTATTTACTCTATGCTATATGATGTCTAAATCCCAAACTCTCCGTTTGTGATTGAGAGAGCCGCCTGGGATTATAGCCTGATAACCGCAGTACAACAGCTAACGGGTTACAACCGCAGCTGAGATCCACCGCACCTCTCTGTAGTCGGGCGCATGACAAATAGTATCCAATCAGAAATCATCTTTCAGTGATCCGATTTAAGGAATCTGGTCGCAGCACTTACTACACATTGTATGCCATTGTTGCTCCCTCTGCTGCCTTGTTATATAGGTGTGACGATCGGGGCCTTCCCTATAATAAGGCGGCCGGAGGAGGTTGCCTCAGACGGCATCTCACTGGGTCAAGTGGGGGGTGTGCCTGTTGCCCCCTGTCCGGGCAGAGCCAG